TGCATGTCATTGCCAACCCACCCCAGTTTGGGGATATGAGTGAGGGGACAGCCAGCATGAAGCCACCGCCAGACCCATCTTTTAACCAGCACTTGGGGTGGCCGCACAGGTATGCGTGCCTGAGTCTCCAGCTAGCACTTAGAAACTTGTTGCTATCTTGTTTCCATCCTGAGTGTTCAAAGATACCTTGCGCTGATGTACCACCTATTCAGCTTCACCAGAAATGCTAAGTATATTAGCTGTTCAGCATTTCTACTGCTATAATTTGTATCCAAAGAATAAGACAACCCAGGTTGACAGAGAAGCTTTAGGGAAATCAGGTCAATGATTCTGGAAGCCAACTACAATCTTTATCAGTAGTAAAGTACTTATCTGCAAGGTAAGAGCTAGTGATAGTTACCTCACACTGCACTTTTGAAAGTCCTATTATCATCACTGTTTGTGGCAACATTTATCACCTGAAAAGGACTTCATCAAGCACAATTGCTCTATTTTCCAAGTCACGGATCTAGTTCATATTCTCCTCAAATAAGAAATTAAAGAAAAGAGTGCCCAATACCGGTTACATTTTTATGGCAAGCTCTATACCAGAAGTGACCCAAAAATTTAAAAGGGATAGGCTAGGTATGATGTGGAATTTCAGCTTTGGGCTAGTGTTGAAGCATGTAACTTCCTACCTCACACATCAGTCTTTAGAAAGAGAGGTTGTTTTCAGTTCTGGCAGGTTTTCTGGAAGAGTTTCAATAGCTGAGGCAGCTGTGGGCACTGCAAACATAGATATTCAGTCCACAGGGGGATATTAACAGGATCTACCTAACAGCCAAGGAAAGAACCCATCGACTTCTCAGATAAGATACAATTAAGTAACTTCAAGTCAAGACAAGAGGATCTACAAATATTTGCGAGTAAAACCAAGCAGATGCTGAAGGCTTTCCTAAAACCCTTGAAAAATGCTTTCACTGGATTGCTGCACTACCTACTGATGATTTCCTGGGAAGCCTCAAGTACAATCCTGTTTCACAGGTATTTTATGATCAGAAGTTCAAACAAAATCTCCAAGAGTTTGTTCAGTTTTCAAAGAACTTGGAGAAGGAAGTCAGTCCAACATGCTGTGACGGGATAGTAAAATGTATGCACATCTAGATATTAGAATTGATTTGATATTAGAAATGACCTCACAGAAGAGTTAGTTTTGGTATTTTGTTCTAAATTGGTAGTACAGCCTCTCCTAAAAATAGTCTAGGTGAGAATGAAAAACTTTCTAGCCCCATGAGCTGGAAGATGGACTAGAGAAAAGAGAAAACAGATCATGCATACAGTAACATGCAACATGAAGTGTTGATATGAGATGCTGGAGCAGATCCAGAGGAGGGCCACGAAGATGATCAGAGGGCTGCAGCAGCTCCCCTCTGAGGACAGGCTGAGAAAGTTGGGGCTCTTCAATCTAGAGGAGGCTCCAGGAGGACCTCATAGAGACTTTCCAGCACCTGAAGGAGGCCTACAGAAAAGCTGGGGAGGGTCTTTTTATAAGGGTATGTAGCAACAGAATAAGGGGAAATGGTTTTAAACTGGAAGAGGGTAGGTTTATACTAGATATTAATTCTTTACTATGAGGATGGTGAGACACTGGAACAGGTTGCCCAGTGAGGTTGTGGATGCCCCCTCCCTGGAAGCATTCAAGGCCAGGCTGGATGGGACTTTGTGCAACCTGGACTAGAGGGAGGTGTCCCTGCCTTTAGCAGGGAGCTGGAACTAGATGATCTCAAAGGCCCCTTCCTACCAAAACCATTCTATGATTCTCTATGATTCTATGATTTTGAAAGTAAACAGGAATATATTTTGCCAATGTGTTTATCATCATTGCAAGTAAAGACTACAGGCTTAGGCGGGTGTAATCCAGGCCCTGCTTCCAGTGAGCTGCCAGCATCATATCATCACTATGAAATACAACACAGGAAATTTAAGGAAGCTACTGTGCACACTGTCAAAAAGGGCATGAAATTAGAATAAACTTAACCCAAAGGAGCAGCAGAATTAACAAGCCAATCTGCAGAACCTGCAGAGTAAGTCTGTATTCTGAACCACCCAAAAGTGCAGTCAGACTTCAGAGATCAGCACTCACCAAAAGGCAGCACAAACCTTTGCTTCAACAACAGTCACTGTAGTCCTTCAGAGGGTGCTGAGAGCCAGCATGTGCTGCTTGTTCAGTCATGTAGGTGGACGAACACTTGACCTATGACCACCCTGGCTCTGGCTGGGACCTACAGGGGGTCTCCTCAAAGATTCTTTCTGTCACATGAGCAAAGGAAGACAGAAGATCAGCTGATGTCTAGACTGAAGGGATTTACATTTGTAGAATACTGGGACATCTTTTTTTGGATAAAAGTCTATGATTTAGACCCAGTCACCTGGAAAATCTTCCCAGGCAAAACCTGGCAAGATTAAATTCAATGGCAACAATCAGCTAAAAAAATAGGATGATCTATTCATCACAAATTAGAGATGTTCAAGCTAAAATGAAGCAGAGGACCATACATGATGGCAAGAAACCTACTCCCAACACATACATAGTTAATTAACAGGAGTAACTGAATTATTAATTTGGAAGCATAACTTGAATTTAATGGGCCTTACTATAAGAGAAATAGGCATAGTACAACATGTGAATTAGGAGCTAAGAACTGCAGAATATTCAGAAAGTAAGCAAAAAGTTATTTTGATAATGGATATTTATTTACCTGTGTGAAGAGCAGGAAGGAGTAATTTTTATTATTTTCTTAAATAATGTATTTCAGAGAAAGCAGAAACTTTATATAAATTGCTGTTCTATGTGGTTATTTTGGGGTGTGTGTGTGTTGTTTTGTTGTTGGTTTTTTTTTTTTTTTTTTTTTTTGGAGAGAAACAGCAAATGTCACAAAGTTCTAACAATAACTAAGGAAAGCCTTAAACATAGGAACTAAAGGAAGATGTTTTTTAAATCAGCAGCTCCAGATAGCTCGCATCCAAGAGTTTTAAGAGCTGGCAAAGGAGACTTGTGTGCTGTTAATGTGGATTTTCCATAAGCTTTGAGAAATCTGGGGAAGCTCGAGAAAAAAAGTCTAACAGAAAGCTGAGGCTGTGCCAATACATATATATATATACATATATATATATATATATATGTAAAAGCATAAGAAAGGAATAAAATCAGTACCTTGCAGTACTCCCAGGAGAAAAACAAAACAAAACCAAACTAAATAAAAGGAATCCTTGGTATAGAAACAAAAAGAAATGACAAAGTTTTATTTAAATTGTACAGCTCAAATTAAATTTCAAATTGACTGTATTGCTCATGTGATTAGAGCATATATCTGGTAGGCAACAGGAACAGCATTGGTATGTCTACATGGATTTATTCAGTATAACAGCAAAAAAGTGACATAATTTTACATAGATAGCATGTTGCAAGTAAATAAAAACCAAGGTTACAGGTCTGTGTCGTCAGTGAGGAATTGGTCAGATGTCTTTCTAATTGAATCCCACTAGAACTGGTTCTTGGCTCTAAGCTATTTAATATTTTATCAGCTTATCACGAAATAAAGTTCAGTACTAACATTCATCAAAGCTACAATTAAATAGCATAGCAAGACAGCTGATTGAGAACCATTTGAACTACTGGAAAATTAAGTGTTTCAGCACGGTCAGTGTGTGGTTATGCACTTAATGACAAATATAGAACGCTTGTAGGATGGAAAACTTCCTCAGAAAATTGGAATAGCTGATAATGGAGTGGAGTCTTTCATAGAATGGCCTGAGTTGAAAAGGACCACAATGATCATCAAGTTTCAACCCTCCTGCTATGTGCAGGGTCACCAACCACCGCTCCACGGAAGGGGCATCCACAACCTCCTTGGGCAACCTGTTCCAGTGTCTCACCACCCTGTGGGTGAAAAACTTCCTCCTTGTATCTAACCTCAATCTCCTGTCTTAGTTTAAAATCATTTCCCCTTATCCTATCACTATCCAGCCTCATAAACAGCCATACCCCCTTCCTAAGTTCACAAGGAACAGAGAAGACAGAAAGCTTTTGAGGATCCTCTTGTAATCCATCAAGGGCTAAAGTGAAATTAAAAATCATAACCAATTTCTTGTTTCTAATATTATCCTTATGCATAATTGAGCTCAAAATTGTTAATGTAGTTGTTGAAGGAATTGGGAAACAAACAACCAGAAACAAAAGCTGCTTTTGCTGCAGAGAAGAAGAGAAATTGGACTGCTATCAAATCAGATTTTTGAATTAGGGATCTCACTTGGCAAAGGACACAGCAGCCCTCTAGGGAGCTGTAACAGGACAATGGCTTCTGTACTCATTACTCATATTTATTGAAACTGCTTTATCAGAATGGCACATCGAGTTGAAAACTGATACATTAGTGAGAGACTATGAAGCACAACTACAGGTGCTGTGACTGCACAACAAGCCCACAACTGAGCATCACAATGCGACATTGGCATACAAAAGTTATCTAAATCACATGACTCAGACCACGTGAAGAGCCGTGAAATATTTGATCAGGGAAAACAGATACGCAGAAGGGCAGGGTGCCAGGTGAAACTAAGTTCGGGTCAAGCTTTCTTCAACAACCACAATGATTACAGAAGAGCATGACCAGCCGTGCGGGCAGCAGCAGCAAAAGGCTCGCTTTGTTGGCTGCTATCTTCGGCCATAACGAGCGCTCTCGAGAGAAGGCAGACAGCGCAGAACGCGGAGACTCCAATAAACAAAACGAATTCAAGTCCCTAAGCCCAGGAACGAACGGAACCAGCGTTCTTCCTTCACTATGCTCCAGATTCCCGCGCCGCAACTCCGGCAGCACTACCAAACAGACTCCAGGACGGGCTACGAATGCTCCCTCACCCGCCCCACCGGCCATGGAGCGCGGCAGAACCGCACGCCCACAGCCGCCATTTCCGGGCGCCGGCCCCGAGGTGAAAGGTCCCGCGGCGCCCGGATGGAGGCGGTGCCGCCCGCCTTATATAAGCCGCCGGCCGCCGCAGCGCCTTCCTCTCGCCGCCTCCTCCTGGCTCACCGCTGTTCGCTGGGCCCCGCGTCGCGCCTCGCCCGGGAATAAGTCGGCCAGGAAGGCCCCGCTGCCGCCATGGTGAGGCGGGGGGCGACGGATCGGGGGGAGCGGGTGGGGGGCGGCGCCGCGTGGTTGCCGCCGGGTCCGGCCAGCCGCGTGCCGCCGGCTCGGCCTGGGTCCGGGCCCGAAGCGCGGCGCTGGGGCGGGGCGGTGCCGCGTGTGCCCGCGGAGCGCTGTGGTGCGGCCGTACGCATCCGGCCCTGAGCAGGCCGCCGTGGGGTGAGCTTGGGCTCTGCGCCTGCCCTTCGTGTGCGTTCTTAAGCGAGCAGCGTGGTCAGCTAATAGGGCACGTGTCAGCTGCTCGGTCGGAGAAACGCCGTGCTTCTAACGTTTATCTGAAAATGCTTCTTTACTGTGTGTTTTCCCGTTCTTTTATCGGTTCGATCTGTCCGCTTTAATACAGTTTTTTTTTCCCCAAGCATTTAATTACGCGAAGCTCTTCAGATCAGTGCCTGAAGTGGTGCAGTCAGTCTTTCTGGTCTGTTTGCTCAGTGTTCCACCCATTTAGCTGATATCTTTGCTGCTGGATTTATGCGGGGGCTGTTAGGGTGGTAGAATTTCACGGGTTTTGGATACAAGAACAATCGCAGAATCACGCAGGGCTTAGAAGAGACCTCTGGAGACCATCTGGCCCGGCGCTCTGTAATCACACAGAATCACAGAATGGCCAGGGTTGGAAGGGACCTCAAGGATCATGAATTGCAACTCCTGTCACAGGCAGGGTCACCAACTTCCACATTTAATACTAGACCAGGCTGCCCAAGGCCTCATCCAATCTGGCCTTGAACATGTCCAGGGATGGGGCATCCACAACCTCTCTGGGCAGCCTGTTCCAGCACCTCACCATTCTCATAATAAAGAACATAAGTATGGCAAAGCTGTAAAGCAAGTTTCCTGGAGTAGGTCACACAGGAAGGTGTCCGGGTGAGTTCTGAGTATCTCCAGAGAAGGAGCTCCACAACCTCACTGGGCAGCCTGTTCTGGTGCTTAATTACTCTCACGGTAACAAAGTTCTCCCTCGTGTTTGTATGAAACTTTGTGTTCCAGTTTTTGACCATAGCACCTTGTTCTGTTGCTGCATACTGCCACGGAGTCATCTCGCCCCCATCAATTTGGTTCCTGCACTTCAGATATTCATAAACAGTGATGAGATCCCCTCTCAGTCTTCCCCGGGATGAACAGCCTGAGGTCTCTGAGCCTTTCCTCATAAGGGAGGTGCTTCAGGCTTCTAATCATCTTTGTAGCCTCCCACTGGTCTCTCTGGTAGCTCCCTGCATTTCTTGAACTGAAGAGCCCACAGCTTGACAGAGTATTCCAGATGTGGTCTCACCAGGGCAAGTTAGTAGGGAAGGAGGAGAATCAGGCATGATCAGTGCCTGGACAGGCTGCTTTATATGTAGGCAAATCAGGCAGAGCTGTTCTCAAAGCTTTCTACCCTGCAAAGCAGTTACTTTTCACAGCGCTTCACACACCTCTCTGATCATCCTTTATTCCCACTGTCTGGACCATGCCATTGTACCTGCCTGATCACGTCATGCAAATAATATAGTCCCAAAGCCAAATTGTTCTTTACATTGCACAAGCTTGTTTTCAGTAGTGTTAGTTGGTGTTGATAGTCGTGTTTGATATCTAACTTTCACATTTTAGGCATTTAAAGATACTGGCAAGGCACCTGTGGAGCAAGAGGTAGCAATTCATCGCATTAGAATTACTTTGACCAGTCGCAATGTAAAATCACTTGAGAAGGGTGAGTGACACTTTTTTTTTTTAAACTAGAGTAGTAGTAAGACAGAGCTTCTGTCCCTCTGTTTGTCTGGGGGTTTTAGATGTTACTGTTGGAATGTCTGAGAACTGAAAGCTATTGGTTTCTTGATTGATACTCTGTCATACTTGTTACTAAGTGGTCAGTTAGAAGTTCAGTGTTCAGTAAGGCATTAATAGATCTCATTTAGGAACTGATGTTGGCAACATTTTAATCACGTATTATGAATGTAGAAGCAGTGCTTGTTGCCTGACATTTGGGTTGCTTGTGGCTCAGATAAGGGTTAAATGGTAATAACCTTCTGTTGTGATTTTTTGCTATCTTACTGTGGGGTAAGTCATTTGATTTTGATGTAGTTGGCTATGAGGATAAACTCCTAAACCTGAATTGCAGTGATCATTTTATACGCTATTCTGAGCCAACGTGTCTTTTAAAAGTCTTTGTTCAAAACAACAAACGAAAGATCCACAAGCCTTAAAAGCATTCTGTGTTTTCAGTCTGTGCTGACTTGATCAGAGGCGCTAAGGAGAAAAACCTGAAAGTGAAAGGACCTGTGCGCATGCCTACCAAGGTATTTAAACTTAATTGAAACCATGTTGTATTTCTGTAAATAAGCACCTAAAATGTCTTTTTTTTTTTTTAAATAAAAGTTGAGATATGAAGCAGTGCTACTAAATTGAGGGTTGTGTTAGATAATAGCATACCTTGGTTCTTTGATGCTTTGATAACTGTTGTGTGACAAATGCAGAAGGTAGAAAGGGCTTCTTGTGTACATCAGCTTGATACCCTGTGTTTATGGTTTTGCTTCAGATTCTGCGAATCACTACCAGGAAGACACCTTGTGGTGAAGGCTCCAAGACCTGGGATCGTTTCCAAATGCGTATCCATAAACGACTCATTGACTTGCACAGCCCTTCTGAGATTGTGAAGCAGATCACTTCCATCAGCATTGAGCCAGGTGTAGAAGTTGAAGTTACAATTGCTGATGCCTAAATCATAGTTATCTACTTCCAATAAAGCTGGCTTACAAGTTTTCATTGCTCTCTGTTTCTATATTTGTGCCATGAGTCTGTGGTATTTCTCTGATTTACCTGAATAAGGACATAACCAAAATGCTATCTGGGAAGATCACATTTTCCTGATGTTATTTTTCAGGAAGAACACATGAATTGTAAATGAGAAGGTGGAACTTGGGCATCATAGTTTGGTTAGATTGGTGACTCTATGGACATTTTGCACATGAATCCTTTATGGAAAAATCTAACTCGGGGCTATCTGAGTTAATAAGATTACTATTAGTTCTCATGCATTTAAGTTGATGCTGTTCTGGCTTCTCCATGCATTGAGTTAGCTTCAGTTAAAAAAGCAGAAACAAGGGCATATGTTTGTGTGGAGTCTGATATTTCATTGCCTTCACTGAGAAATAAACTGGGGTGAAATCTTGAGCCACCTTTAAAAAGGGATTTAGGAGTCCCTCATCTGCACGCTCATCCCAGTGACATTAAATTTCAGGCTTTAGAAGGATCTATCTATGGGAAAGTCCATACTAACATGAGAAAAACCTTTCCTGTGAGGATGCAAGGAGCACTGAAAGAAGCAGCCCACAGAGGTGGTGGAGACTCCCCTGGGGGTATTCAAGAGCTGCCTGGATGCTTTCTGTGTGGGCTGCTGTAGGGAGCTGCTTTAGCAGGGGTTGGACTTGATGACTCATATAGATGTCCCTCCCAACTGCTATGATTCTGTGATGAGCCACTGTAGATTCATTTTAACAATCCGAAGAGCTGTAGGAGAGGTGAGAAACCTTGTTGCATTTGTGGATGGCTACACAACTGCTTCTGCTGAGAAGCTGGTAGGAATAGCTGTGCTCTCAACAAAGTAGGGAAAAAAAAGGTATCTAAAGATAAGCTTCTGGTAAGATGTGAACAATGAGCTTCCTGGCATATTTTTAATCTTTTAGAATCAGGTGCATGTTGTTAGAGTGCATTGAGAAGCACGGCAAGGACTGTGATGGCACTGGTAGAGCAGAGGGGGGGAGCTGGGGCAGACAACAGCAGGGGCCTACGTGGGGCTGGTTGGCCTTTGCATGTCATCAGCTGTTCGCTCTCACCCATCACCTTCCTGCTTAGCGCAGTGCCTTTCTGACCTAGGGCTCTCCGAGGGAGTTAGAGGGCTGTGACTCTCCTTTGCCTTCCTGATTGCTTTTCTAATGCCTCACAAGCATACCTCGTGGTATTAAACAGTTAAACAGCAGCCACAGTAACTTTGTATAACTTTTGATAGAAATATTTACATAGCCGTACCTCTCCGGCAGCCCGCCCTTCTGTCGCTCAGCCCGCAGCTCTCTCCTCGTCCCGATAAAGCCCGCCACATCCCGCCCAGCAGCGGCCCCTCCGACGGCGGCAGCGCGGATGCAAGTCTTACGCTGTGCGACAGCGCCCCCTGCCGGCCGGAGGGAGCGACGCCGAGCCGCGTCAGCCCAGCCCCCTTCCCGTCGGCCAATCAGCGCCCGCTTTCCCCCCGCCCAAAATGCTCCCTGCGCCGCCTGTGCGAGGTGTCCGGCAGGTTCCCGCGCGGCGAGGTAGCGGCGGTTGGAGGCTGCTGGGCGCTGCTGGGCAGGGCTCGGGGCGGGCGGGGCGGTACGGAGGTGGGCGCGGGCTGTGCCGGTGGGTGAGGGCGATGCCCAGCTGGAGCAGTTAGCGTGCTCCCACTGGGAGGTTTCTAAACGCAGCCCAAGTGCCGCTTGTTTCTTAAGCTTCTGTCGCGCTGTCTTACTTTGAGGACCTTATTTTCTTACGAAGCGGCTGCCGTGCTCTTTGTTTTTGTTTCTGTGTGCTTTCACTTGCTCTGTGAGAGAACGGTGTGCTTTTTTTGTCTTGCGAGTGCCTTCGCGCGGAGCAATGGATGATGAGGGGAAAAGCCGCGTCTCTGCGGAGCTATCCGACGCGTCGGAGTCGGATTCCTTCCTGGACCTGGTGGGTAAATCCTCACCTAGGAGTCTGCAGTTGTCTGGCGAAGAGGGTCAGCCCGTTGGCTTGCCGTGCTCCCTGCGAAGTGGAAGTGCACAGCTGCGGAGCAGCAATTAGAAACTAAAGCTCGAATTCAATTCTGAGGGAAGCCAGAAGGTGGAAGCAGTGCAGTTTACACCTCCCGTATCACGCTCTTTGAAAAGCCCCGGTGCTGGCATCATAAAAACCCAAACAAACACAGATTTAGGGCATGAGGATGTCAAGAAGTGAATGACAGCTCTGACCTTCACAGGCAGAGAGCGAGGCATTAAGAACAGCAAATAGTGCATCAGAGATGTATTACGATATCACCTGGGGGGTGTTCTGTTGGAGAAGTGGCCGCTGTAACAACACGTCTTTTTTTTGTCAATAGGCCTATCAACCTTTGAAAGTTTTCTTGAGGGTGAGACCCTTTTCTGTAGCAGAACTGGAAAACCATGAAACTCAGGTTGGTTGTAGAATTAATAAGCTTTTATCCTCTGCCAGAGAATACCTACTATTGTAAGCTGGGTCTTTTTGTTTTTATGAGTCCTGTAGCTATTTCAAATACTATTAGTGGGTGCTTGTGTGAATGTGACTATCACCGTTTTTTCTAATGTGCACAGTACAGACATGCACACCTGTAGCTCAGTGAAACTGCAGTGGTATGTTATTTCAAAGTAGTTGTCACTCTTATATCTGCCCATGGCTCATGAAGCAAAGAAGTTTAAAGAAAGCTATCAAACATCTCTACGAATAATGCAGGTATTTGACCCTTGAGCCACTTGAGAATGCCCGAAATCCCTGGTCCTGCTTGACTTGCTGCTCTTCTCATTAACTTTTAAAACTTATTCTGTCATTCTTAGACGCTGTGGTGTTTTACGCATCTGCGTGCACATGCAACCACACAGGAATATTGCTCTTTCTCCAGCCCTTTATTGTTAACACTGATGCAAATAATTTGTTAAGCTGTTCCTGGAGGATGAGGTCTCTGCAGTCCTATCTGTCAGTCCTGATTTTTGCAAGGCCCTGTGAGTTTCAGTTAGACCTCTTGTTCCTGGCCTCTCTAAGAAGGATTTAATATTTGTTCTTCTTTACTTCTTAAGATATGTTATTTTATTTTATTATTGTGTGTTCTAGTGTTGAATCTGTTGGAGTTGAAAGTTTTCAGTAGGAAAAGCAGTTCTTTTTTGGCTAGTATGCATTGCCATGGTTTTTTCCAGTCTGGCATCATTCAGCAATCTGAGCTGGCTATAGCGTTACACTGATTTACAAAATCTAACTATCTTACAGGTTGTCTCTTATTCCTCTTTGGAATGGGAAAATTCAGAATACTTGACCATAAATGAAATTACTTGTATGCTCTTACATGCAGTGAGGAAAGAAAGTAAATGCTGAAAAAAAAATTAAAAGCTGTAAGGCTGGCTGGGGGAAATAATGAGTGGCATGGTACCAGCTGGATTTCAGTTCTGCAGATCCAACTACTTTAGGGCTTCTACTCACAAGCTTCTATGACCCTGGAGGCAGCTGATGGATGTGCTGCCAGTGTAGAATTCCTCCTACACCAGTAGTGTAGTTTGTGAAGGGATTTAGTATGCCTGGCCTGCATTCCTGATCCTGGCAATGTGAAGAGGGTGTTAGAGAGTATAGGAGGTCAGAGCCTTGTGCAATAAGTAACTGGTCTGAATTCAGTACCACGCCACTTAGCATGGCTAAGCTAGTTGACAAACAGTTGTTGACTGAGGCTCTTAGGAAAAGCAAGCAGTGTGGCCTAGGTGTGTGCTACATGTGTATTATTTGTATGGCCAACCTCTGAACACAGATTCCAGGTTTAGCTACAACCGATAATCCTTACTGCTGATACTTCAAAACGCTGGCAAGCTATATTGATGGTTGGGTGTAAAATCAATTTTCCTATGATATTGCATTTATATTTAGCCAGCACCCACTTAACTAGATAATTGTATCTTACCTTTACTCAGTTGAGAAAATGCAATCAAATCAGATCTGAAACTAATTCAGGTTCCTTCACTACTAATAACATTGTCTATCAGTCAAATTATGTGTTGCAAATTTACTTAATGTGTGCTATTTGTAGCTTTTTTCACACTAAAAATGATTTAAGAGGGGGAAAATGGTACATTTCTGTGTATCTTTGTTTCCATAGCTGTACAAAGTGTTGCAAGTTCCAATTATGAGATACCAGGGTTTGAAAAAGATGAGTTGTGGGTGGAAAGGAAAAGGCGTGGTGGAGATGAGAGGAAAAGAGAGGAGGAGAGAGAAAGGAAAGGAGAAGGGAGAGAATGAGAAAGGGGAAGAAGAAAAGAATGTGGAGGGGGAAGAGGGAGAAAAACAGAAAAAGAAGGAAGAGTGGGAGAAGAAAGGAGAAAAGGGGCAAGAGAAGAGAGACGTTGGAGGAAGGTAGAAGGGAAGAAAGGGGGGAGTGAGAAGAAAGAGTCAGGGAAGTAGAAAGAAACTGCTAGAAGGAATCCAAGTAAAAACTTAAACCTCTTAGAAGACTCCAGGCAATTACCTTAATTTTACTTATGTTCTGGCTTTCGTGTGAAGCAAATATCTGCTTGTATGTAGTTGTTACATACCTCAAGAGACTATCATCTGTTAACTTTGCAAGTTTTCATAGATCTTTTTTTCTCTCCAGATAGGCTTTACATGAACAATTTTGTGGGATGTTTTGATTCATCTTTTCTTGTTTTCAAGGGTTGTGTAACTATTGAAGATCCCCAGACAGTAATTCTTCATGCACCCAAAGAATCTCCTGTAATGAAAAACTGTGAAAGAGGAATTGGTCACTCTGTACATAAATTCACCTTTTCTCAGGTAAGCGGGCTTTTTCTTAAGTTTAGTTATATAGTTAGTTGTTATTTTTCAATTGAAGGCTTTCTATGATATTGTATAGTTTGATTTTTCTTCTTTGAATTACACATGATACTTTTTCCTTAGAAAAGCAAATGGCTTACATTTAGACCATTGTAACTGCTGATTTGCAGCAGTCAATTGCATTTGGTACAGAGCAGGAAGGAGTTGTTCACTGC